TTGTCTGAGTGTCGGCATCGCAGCTTCAGAACAGCCAAAGCCAATGGCAAAGTGCAGCGAGGTGCCAGCTTACCGAATGGCCCGAAGTACGGATACATGGGACCGTGAAGCAACGGCCGCCGCCTGCCTCGTACTTCAACGGCTGGCTTGTGGGCCAGAGGTATATCTAGCGACTTGCCTCTTTCTTCCTCTTCATCTCCCCTGCTCGATGTATGTGTCTGATGCCCGGCGGATGATCTCAGCTCACATGTGGAGAGAAAGCTCCCAATCCTTCAACGAAGCTCGGATTTTTACCAACCGGCATATACCTACCCCAAGTCCACAATTACCATATCGATGCCAACTATCAAGGGACTCCATGAGCGGAAATGCCTCGCCCAGTAGTCTCGACTCGTGCCCCAGTGCTTCCAACCTGCCGGGCCCGACGCCGTGCCTGTGCTTCTTCTTTTCCAATTGTGGACCATGTTTCTAGCTACGTCCCGTTCCAAGGACCGGACTGGCCCGGTATACCCAGCGAGACGTTGCCGAGTCGAGATGGCGGATGGCGATTAAGCCGAATGGGTGTAGGTACACATGAGATACATGCGTCGTTCCCCGCCCCGTTGCCCAACTTGGGCTCAAAATGCCATAGCAGAGTCGATAGAACCGTGCGTTGCATGTCGATTCCAGCCCCCAATTCCCATTACTCCTCATCGACGACTTGAAGCAAACTCTCGGGCCAAAGCCTACAATCGATGTGGCGAAGTTGGCGAGGACCACTCTGGGCATGCTAAGCAACGCACATGTGTGACCTCTGGTGGACTGAAGCGCATTCCAGCGCCTCGGGAGTTTGGAGTCAACCCAGCCGGACACACCGGAGCGGGGGAAGGAAGAAAAAAAAGAGAGCCAAAAAGGTGTGAGACATGCGAGACGGATGGGTAGCACAGAGATGGCCAAAAGGGTTACTCCATCCGAAGATGATGGGAAGCCCAATTACCTACAGGACCACTATACACAGGGTCTACATAGCATTTGTACCTTGGCCGACATTTGATAGAGATAGCGTGTGCTGAGATGTTGACAGACACCAATGCAGCCGAGAAACCCTCCAGCGGGTGCAGCCAGATGGACGGGTTTCTATGGTTCGGACAAAGTAGGACCGGGTGCTGTCCTGAGCGTCGCGAACCCCCAGGTAGGTATTCGTGGGGAGGGAAGGCGGATCAGCTGACTTGCTTGGCAACTCCGGCTTTCTTCCGCCCCGTGAATCAGGGCCACACACTAGAGGACAATCAGGAAATACTTGCTCGGCTCAAATACGATGGGGGCACGTTACGGAGACCTGCGAGACTTGCATTCCTCTCAGTGCGAGAGGGATTCGCCCTATGTTCACATGTAACGTGGACTGCGAAAGAGACGGATGTTGCGTTGTTACGGAGAAGAGTCCGGGCTCTCTGTCAAACTTGATCCTTTTTGCTTGAATTCCCCCCTCCGCTTCGGTGCTCGATTGGGGCCTGGATCGTCCAGCAGAGCGTCCCCCTGCCATGGGCACCTGGATTGAATGGCGGTAACATCTGTAGCCTGGCCCTCGCCTCTCGTCGACAAGTCGCTTCCGTTGGCGCCGATCATGTCGTTGCGCAAACGTCCGAAACCAGTTACCGGTTGCCGGAAATCCATCACCCAATCCCCAACCTAGAAATCTACATAGGCTCTAAAAGGTTTGAAGGATAAAAAGCTCCATTTCCCCGATGACTTCATTCATGTTGGGTCTTTACCCCGCTTCTTCAAAGCATTGAATTCCTTCAATGGCTTCGGCTCATGTACGAATACATGATGTACATACCTCACGCCAGGGCCTGTTGAGACGTGCCTGACGAGACGCACGTGCGTATGGCAGGGGAGGGGGGAAAGACAACGGTAAATTGCAGCAAAACCCAGATATTTGCTGCCCACCATGGCAACCGCCCTCAGATCATACTTCCCATGCACTGGTCGTTTGCGCTTCGCGGCAGACCTGCATGTTGGGATAGGATAGCACGGCATGTCCGCCCAAATATTAGAAAATTTCCGGAAGATCGTTTTGGCCCTTTGACTAAACCACCCCCCAGCAGACCTTATTATGTTGATTCATTTGGCGTGGAAGACCTTAAGCACATATTCTGTATTTGCGGATATTTGCCAAGTGGGAGCTGAGTCGTGCATAGCCCCATCTTGGAGGTCCCCGTTCAGATGGTTGTTTGCGTATTCGATTCACATTTGGATGGTTCGCAGCACAGCAGTGGTCTCACGACGAAAAGGAAATACGCACCTTTGCGGATCATTCTCTCCGAGGAGGGGGAGAAAAACGTGTCAGTCGCTCGCTCTCCACTGCAGCAGTTCAACGAGACCCCGTTGCATTTCGTCTGCCCGCCCATCCCGCCGGCTTCCTCAATGTCGATCCGGCAGCAGCCAGCCACCGGCCGCCGAGAAACAAAGCGGGCTGTCCCCTCCGCTCTTGCCCCTCCTTGCACTCCCACTCCTCGCCTATCCCCCGTGCCCCCCAGCAGCAGCAGCAGCAGCAGCAGCAGCAGAACAACAATGTTGTATCCGCAGTGTAGTTCCGTCGGCGCTAGCGTGTGATCTTTCGGGCTCTAGCGCATGTCTATGCCTTGGCTCGGCGCGGGTGCCGCAGAGCGGAGGGGGGGGAGGCCAGCCGCTTCTGGTGTCAGGTGAGAGGGCCCGCTTCCTTAGGTTACGCCTGTCGCCGTTAGGTACGTACAATGTACACATTCCTGCTGCTGGCAAGGCAGGGTGCCTGGCAGCATTCGAAGGGCCATTCTGAGTGTTACCCCAAAGGTCCAACTTACCTGTGGAGACGACGGAACCAGATGCCATCGCCGGCTGCGCGGGTTGCTGAAAGTCTAATACGGATGACAGGCTCTCGCCTCATTCAGAATGACGTTTCTCCCTTTCAACGCGAGCTTTCGATACTGATAGCTCCCTGAGAGGGTTTCGGTTGCCAACTCCTCCCTGATCATGATGGTGATGCCCGTAAATCCGTTCGTCTGGACTCTTCCCAGAGACCGGTTCGTGGACCAACAAAAACCGAGTGGATGAAAGTGGGCACGGGAGCCGACGACTACTAAACCCCCCCCCCCCCCCCCAAACGTTCTGTAATAAAGAGGAACTTCAGCAAAATGGGTTTCCCTCATTTCCCTCTTCCCACTTCCATGTGTGTATGTATGTGTGCGCTCTCGTCTCGGCCGAGGAGAGTTGTCCTGTGTCACACCCAAGGTGCCGGGTCATCTTGTTACCACCCTTTTTCAATGGAGACTTTGGTCGATCTGTGAATTCTACGGTAACAACGAAACTTGAGACGAAAAAAAGCATGGACCTCGGTTTCGTTTTATGCCCCGGGACGGAGACATGGTGACAACTTGACAACCTAGCCCAGGTGCCACCAGTCCCCTCTTTTTGTAATTTGATTCGCAAGGAGGAATAAAAGCCAAATCCCAAGTTACCAGAGCCAGTCGCATCCCGAGAGTTGAGAGTGGGCAGGTCTTGAGGCGCGCTTCCCACCCCGTTTTTATGAAATCATTAAACCTAGTTCAGGTAAGAGGTAAAGAGACCAGAGCGGTGAAAAGATCGTCATGTAAAACCTTCATTGTTCCCTGTCTAAGCCCCGTAAGCTATGTAGCTGTCGTCCTGTTGACTTCGTACCCGCGGAGAGAGAGAGCGAGAGAGAGAGAGAGACAGCTGCCGGATGGATGAGATTTCCCATCGATACGGCCTGTGGCTGACTCGTCAGAGAATCCGTCAGAGGAAGCTTCGTCTGAAACGGGGGCTTTCGACCGCAGTCCCCTTCCCAGGAGAGTCTAGAACCGCGAAGCTGTGCTCGGCCTGGCGTGCCGAGAGATGGTGTCGAAGGATGGCGTCTTGTTCTGTTGATATAACTACAATCAGTCGCTGGGAAGAATATGTTTTCGCAAAGTAGCAGCATTTCACTTTTTCAGACACGATGAGCGCTCCAATTACTTTTCAAAGCGAGTCCTCGTCAATGTTTTTCCCAAGTTCATGACAGATGGCTTGGATGCCATATGAAACATCGTGAGAGCATAGAGCTCATGGGTATGAGTTCGTGAAGAGAAGACCCTCAGAGACGGGGACCATCACCCCCCTAGCATCATGTCGTCTCAATGAAGTGTGTCGTGAGCATCTTTCCTGCGGCTTTATCGTACAGCTCTATGCAAATGATATTGCGTTTCTTCCTACTAAACCCGTGAAAAGCACTAGTTTGCAAGATTCGATAGAATCAACACCCTCTCTCTACTATTATTCCTATATAGCACCCGACGACTACTATTTGCTCATGGTGGTCGTAGACCTGACGGGATACATATGATGCGTACCACCTCGCGGTTCGTCTGTCACGAAATCATCGTGCTGTCTGTCATCGCGCGCGGGGGGAGTCTAGAAAGAAGTGCTTGAAGTGGATTGAGACGTAATTCTCGAGGGAAAGAACCTTCCGCGTGAGGATGTACTGATTGTGAACGGACCCGCGGGACTTGCGGGCTCTTCTACCATCGTCCGTCATAGATGGGAACGGGTTCCAGGCCTCTTTGCTAGGATGAGATGCTCTCAGGTATGCCAAATGCCTGGTTGGCGTGAGGCAGCATGCTGATCCCCGCCGATAGCGGCTGGTACAAGCCATGACGTTTGAACCATATTGATTGACGATTGGGCTCCAACGCCGCCTAGCAGAAGATCAAGGTAAATCTACTCGCCGAACGCAGCATTTCGACCTCCCTTTTAATTGACAGTCATCTCTTTCCCCCCAAGAATGAAGCAGTTTCCGCACACGCCTTTTCCACAAGTTCATATTCCCATAATCCCATATCAGGCCGGTCTAATCGCTGGCCCTCTCCCTATTTGAAGTAATGTCCTGTACATCGTATCTACGACACGTCGTCTTTGGGCGGGGTCCCAAGTCTTTGGAAAGTGGTTAGTCATTTTGTTCTCGTTCTTCGGCTCGGTCGATTCGTCGTTTATTGGGTCTTGAACAGGAGGATCGCGCAGTGGCCGAGGTAAAAGTAGATGAAATGCTTGGTTTCTGTATGCCAGGTTAGTCTCGAATAGGAAATGTCAAAGTGTATGTCTCTGCTCTCTTGCTGTATCCCAGAACAGAAGGTTGAGCTATGTATAGACGTACCGTGGGTCACGAAGCTACCAAAGTTACGGCCAACAATGCAGTGCCATGTAGGACCCTTGCGCTCATCGAACTGAATATGCGAGCGTATTAGCAACCGTCTGTGGTCGAAGTGACAAAGAGGACTGTTAAGGACTGACGGTTCGCTTGATGTGTTGGGCAATGTCCTGGAGTTCGTCATTCTCAGTATACGGCGGCGTGCGCTATGTGCTACGTGGATCAAGGATGCGTACCTTCTCGATGGTGAACTTGGCCATGGCTTCCTGAGCTATGGAGGGGCCGTCAGCACACGGCGGGGTCGTATGGGGGGCGGGGGGTGGGTGGGTTGGTTGGGGAGGTTGGTGTTGTTTTGGTAGTTTTTTTTTGTTGTTGTTTTTTTGTTGGGGATGGTATGTGTGGATATCGGTGGTTTTATTTGTGGGGGTTGTGTTCCGAGAAATGACGTTACATACTGAGTTCGAGGTACTGTTGCTGGATATCCGCTGTCTGGACACATTTGGTACATGAGTGGGAGTTGATCGATCCGCCGGCGGCCCTCACCATGTCTTCGCTCTTG